TAAGCTTTAAATTTTCAAGCATATTTCATATTTCTCTTCAATATTTGTAGTATTATTAGGCTTCTTGCTGTCCAAAAACTCAACTATAATAAACGTTCTTGAATATTTTTTAGATTCTATATTTTAATTGACAATAAAAACGAGGTTTTAAATCTTATTGCCTTATTTACAAACTGTGAAATGAAGTCAACTCAACAACTCTATATATTTTTATGAGCAATTTAAATAATTAAAGTTTTTAATGAATATTCAGTTGAATTTCCTTATTTACAAACTTTTAAACGAAATAGACTCAACTTTATTTATATATTTATTAGGTAATTAAACCAATTTAAGTTTTAAAAAGTTTTCACTGTACCTGAAGTCGCCTTTTACCCATATCTTTTCGACTGGAGAATGGCAACTTTTTGCTTTATTGGCTTTATTGACTTTTGGTAAGTTCTCGACTGGCTTCGCTTGGTTTGGTTTCAATTCGATTCGTTTTGCGACCAGCTTCTTGGAGCTTCTTCTGGAGCTCTGAAGTTGTTTTTTTTTTGGCGTAAAGGGTATACCGGTGGTCGGTTAGTAGACTCCACTGATTGCTGCCAGTGTTTATTCGCTTATAAAAATAAATAAACCCAACGCCGCCAAATCAGAGAAAGACCTGGAGCTGAAGACAGAGAGATACAGAGAGAGAGAGAGAGAGGGAGAGAGGGAGCAGGAGCAGAGCAGGACAGAAGTTGGCAGTTGCAAGACCATAAAACTGGAAAGTTGTTTGGTCAGTTCTACCGACAACACCAACAGCAGCAACAACACCAACAGCAGCATCAACATCTAGTGTCGAGTGCTGCTGGCTCTGGGGCTTTGATTTTCTCGCTGGAAATTTATGAAAAATCACTCAATTTTCCAGATTCAGCTCCAGCTGCTGCGGAAAGTGTGTCACCCGCCAAAAGTCGCAGAATCCCCGCCAGAGATCGTTCGAGTATCTTTCTTTGGTAGACCAGGGTTCAGCAGACTTGCAACTCGATCTTGGTTTGGTTTTATGTTTTCCCGTTTTTGTCTTGTTTTTTTTTGGGTGAAATCTGGTTTTGCATCCGTCTCTCTCTCTCTCTCTTTCTCTCTCTCGCTCTCCGTCTCTGTCTCTCTCTGTTTTGTTTCTGATTCTGTTTCTTTTCCATTTGCATGACTGAGGTTGAATCATCGATGTCGATATCGAGCTGGCGTATCTTGCAGATACTTTGCACTTCTCCCCATGCAAATTTGTGTATATTTTTTCACCAGTTTCGGGGTATTTGGACTCTGAAACTGGTTTCCATCTCCTCGAGCAGGATTCGGCCTTTCAAGCCAACTAGGGATGATCAAAACTATCGTTAAATAAGTTTAAAGCGATACTTTTGGTAAAAGAAAATTGGGATTTCGATAAGTAAACGATTTTTAGTCAAAAGCTTGTAAACCAGTGAAGGAGTCATTTCCGACCCTATAAATCATATATATTCTTGATCAGCATTAACAGCCGAATCGATCTAGACATCTCCGGTAGAAAGAATTTTTTTTAATTAAAAAAAAAAATTTTAAGGGGTTAATATTATAAATAATCGATAAAAATTCCATTTTTTTTAAATTTTAAATTGTATCCAGATTTATTCCCCTAATAAAAACTAACACAGGGCTGCTTTCCGAATTAAAATTAATGCATTTTTGGCTTAGCTTTGAGTTTTTTAAACTTTGATATATGATATCATATCATTTATTTTTCGATATTTTGTTAAATATATACAATATTATAACTCATGCATTTATGATTCGATTTTTTCTTCATGACACATCCCTAATCCAGTCAATTAGCAATATGCCACAGCGTCGTAATTATTAAAAGATACACGCGTCCAAATGATGTTAACTAAATTGTTTTTGATTTATGCTTCAAGTTCGAGTTCATTTCGGTTATGAGCGAGTGTCTTTAAGCCAAATTTATGATAAGCCGTTGGCCATTTGGCCTGCGTTAACCTTAAGCCCCAGCCACAGATACAGATACAGATTCAGATTAAGATACGTATCTGTATCTGGATGCGAAAGTGAAAGTAGCCGAAAAAAAAGACAGTAACTTGCACTCCTCGATCTCTTTCTCTCTCTCTCATTTTCCTTCCCAAGTGATTTTATTACCGCCTCTGTCTCTCGTTTTTTGTCTGTTTTAACTTTGGCTTTTGTTTTCGGTTTCAGCGGAGTTTCAAAATAAAATTAAATGCTAAGAAAAACAAAAGCAGCCATCGAGTGAGGCAGAAAATAAGAAAGAGAAGCAAGAAAAATGATTACAACGATTTATACGTAGTGCGGGGCAACGTGAGTTCGGCATCACGTTTCCATTTTATTGCTCTCTGAATTTGTTGCTTGTTATTTTTATTTTTGTATTTTTTTGTTGTGTTATTTTCGCCGTTGTCATTTTTCATTTCGGACTCAGTTTGCTGCGGTAATTTTCGTGTGCTGGCCATGTTTTTTTCTCGTTCGGTTATTTAATGATTTAAAGATTATACACGGTCCACCAGGCGACCCTTTTACTCCTGGTCCAAGTGGACTGTAGTCCTCCTCCTGCCTCCGGTTGCCCCTTTTTATAACCCCAAAAAGCTGAGGCACAAAAACTTTCGCTTTTTTTTACACCTTTTTCGGCAAAAGGTAGAGAGAAGAGCAAAAAAAAGAGTGTTGTGTAAGAGCATGTTAATTTGGGACGAAGGCAGAAGGTGTTAAAATTGCAGATAATGTCTGCGGTTTGTTGTTTGAGCTCTCTCTCTTCTTGGGGCCCAAAGAAATACATAACCTTTTCTTTGAGGGATGCTGTTCACACTCCGATTGAAGGGATCTCTATTAAGCGACCCAATTATCTCGGAAACTCTATCAGGGGGGCGGTAGAGTAAGTTAAGCGGCTTAAAAGGGGAATATCTGGGCAGTCTCCTTCATAAAGTAAACTTGCTCTGAATATACATACAGATAACTTCTAAAGAATACACCATACGCCCCACTAAGTGGCATTAATTCTAGACTGCTTCATATATGATAAATCTTAGCCTGACTTGGCTCATATTGCTTGCCTAATCACCTCAGACTCACCTTTCGTGTAAGGCAACCCTTTTTGCAGGCGCAAGCGTTTAATTTAATGGCAGCACTTTGACTCACAGAACGAACTCGATGCTCATAAATATGCTAATCAGGCGGGAAACACGCCTCCTTCTCCTCCTCATCCTCCTCCCATTGAGACAAAGGAAAAGCTAATTCGGGCGAATATACTTTGGCCTGACACAGTTTTGCAATTATTCAATGGGCAAACACAATTAAAATTGTGAAACATGACTTGCCTGCTCTTGACTGGAAATGTCAAACGTTCGAATAACTCGTGGATTCTGGGGGATGGCGGGGTGAAGCTGTTTAGGCAGGCCATTAGACAGATAGCGCGCGCATCCGTCAGATACAGATACGGCTACATTAGCGACTCAGCTGCTCGGGAGCTCGAAGCAGTCACAGCCACAGCTACAGATACAGATGCAGAGATACAAGTTCGAGTACAACGCGGCATCGATTATTTGCCAAGCAAACTGGTTCTGCCAGTGCCCAACTATAGATAAGTATTTCAGTATTCCGGGCAATAAATGCGTGGGAAACTGGTAACAGCGACTGGGCCATCATCGTCCGATATAGACGCGGAATTGTGGCCAGTCAGCCGGGCTTTGTCCTAGCGGCGCTAGATGTGCAATTACAGATAAGCCCGAACTCATTATAATAAAAATGAGTTATTAAAGCCGAAAAGCTGAAAAGCTGAGAAGACCCAAAAGTTTTCGCCGAAAAACTAGCCAAGAATAATGGCCCGACCTCTGGCTCTTTTTGGTTTTTTATCCCCCGGCCCAGCCTGAACTTTAAATTAAAGCCACTCATTCATTCACTCGCTCGGTCTATTCTCTCTTCTCCTCTCGGTTTTTTGTTAATTTCTTGGAAGCTGTCAACGTTTGAGAATTAATTTTTACACCACGGGCCGGGATCGGACCTGGTTTCCTGGTCTAGCCTTTGACTGGGGCCGGAGCAGAGGTGGAGAGAATCAAATCATGCAAGAAATTTGTTACTGACATAAAAATTACCATCATTATAATGTCTAGCCCGTCTAACACGAACACGAACACTCGAAAGCGAAGCAGGAAGAGCGCCACAAAAGCCAGTGTGTGGTAATAGAAAATGTCGAAATTAACACTGGGGGAAATTTTGTATATAAATGTGGAGATAAAGAGACCTTTTCTGGGACTACAAATAGTATATTTAAATTCAAATCAAAAGACTTATAAACTAAATCTCATAATTGCAAAACTAGTTTTTAATAATTAAGATGTTTTCATTAAGGACAGCTATCAAAGTCACGAATTCTAAATTATCGTTCGATAATTTATTAGAAAATTTAGTTGTTTGTTTTTGACTTTAAAGATTTACTTGTGATTTGATTTATAACAAATATAAATATTGGAAAACTAAGTAAGTATATGAAATTTATTAGCAAATATTTAATGATTTATGTGGAAAACAAGGTTAAGTAAATTGCAAAACTAGCCTTTGAAGAATATTTATTTAGAATTTCCATTTCGAATATTAGTTTGTGATTTATATGGCAGGTGGTCATATTATGTAAAATAAATGTAGTGTTTACTGAATTTCAAATTTAAATAAGCTTTTCTGACGCTTAGATAATATTTCTCTCAAAGTCCATCAGAGATTATAAAACTTCAAGTGTTTTAAATCTATAAAATCGTTGACATAAAACCCTATATCATGATATTTAATTACTATCAACCCATTTTTCCGAGTGCACTTTCCTAAGGCCAAGGGAAGCGAAACCCGAGACTGGCTAAAAACGACAAAGGAGCGTCCCAACGAATGCAATGGGGCGGAGGAGTGATCGATGCTGGCCAGGAATGGGCTTGGGACTTGGTCTCTGGCACTTTGCAGATGGGAGATGGGAGTGGGCTTCGACATTGTCCATTGAAACTCACCTGCGCATGATGGGCAGCGGCAGAGTGAAGCGTCCATCGTTCATGAGCGGAGCCGGCAGCGGACCCGGCAGTGGCACCGTCGAAATCACGGACGTAAGCGCTGGCGGCTGCGGCGGCGCAGCTGCGTGTGCAGCATGGGCAGCGTGTGCTGCATGTGCTGCATGTTGTTGCTGCTGCTGCGCTGCTGTTGTTGCAGCAGCAGCCACGGCTGCGGGTGGTGGCGGGGGCGGCACCGATGCCACGGGAACGGGCAGGGCGCTGTAGGGTGGCGGGTAATGGGGATGCAGGATGTCCGGCAGCAGAGCCCTGGCCAAGCCCATGGCAGCGGGATGCGGGTGGGGCAGGGGATGGGGATGCGGAAGCGGAAGAGGATGGGGATGATGCAAATGCGGGGGCGGGTGCAATTGGGCTTGAGGGGGCGGTGGCGGTGCTGCACCATGATGACGTCGCGGATGATGCGGCGGAAATTGTTGCTGCTGCTGCTGCTGCTGTTGTCTCCGTTCCCTTCGCTCCCTGCGCCGCTGCTCGCGTGTCCGTATCTGCTGCTGCTGCTGCTGCAATTGCTCCTGCTGCTGCTGCTGCTGCTGCTCCTGTTGCTGCTGGGAATCCCTGGATGAACTGGCGGTCAGATCATCCGTTTGACATTCCGTTGAGGTGAAGGTTCGCGGATTGCTATTGCTGCTGCTGCAGCTGGCATTCACATTGATTATATTCACACTGTTATCGGCTTGCACACTGCTATTATTATTATTATTATTATTTAGCTTATTTTGTACACTTGCACTGAACACTTTGTTATTGATTTCCACCACGCTGTTGTTGTTGTTGTTGTTATTATTGGCATTGTTGCCAGTGTTGCTCGTGTTGCTCGTGTTGCTGCTGCTGCTGGGGGTGTAGCTGCAGTTGACAACGCACACGCCATTGTTGTTGTTCACAATGCTTGTGGGCGAAGAGGCCACCGAGACGCGATTGCCGTTATTAGTACCGTTAGTAGTATTGCCGTTGTTGTTATTGTTGTTCACTTGGATCGTTAAACTCGGCTGTCGCTGGCAGGACTTGCTAGTTGTTGCCGTTGTTGCAGCAACAGCAGTTTCTTTTGCCGCAGGCAACACTGCAATGTTGCTGATGCTCTTGGCCTCATCGCTATTAAGAAACACACTGCTGCTACTGCTGCTGTTGCTGCTGTTGCTGTTGCTGTTGGTGCTTGCAACAGTGTTTGCTGCTGCAGCAGTGGCTGGCACATTCAGACGCATCTCGTTGGCGTTTTCAATGTCCAACTGGCTCAGTCCCCGCTCGAATCTGCTTTCACTCGCGCGAAATTCGGCATACAGACGCTCGAGTTCTGCCAAACATTTGTTGGGCCGCAGCACACTCTTGGTGTCGTACACTGAGCGATAGCCGCTGCTCGGATAGTAGCAATCTGCTTTAGTTGCTGTCGCGTCGAATGTTGCCGAGAAACTGATCGCTGCTGCTGAGTGCTCGTCGTGGATGTTGCTCGCATTGCTGGTTGTGTTGCTGCTAAAAGAGCTCTCCCAGTGGTGTGTTGCTGGCGTAGCAATCGCTCTCCCAGCCGCTCTTTGCTCTCTTCGGGCACAGGAAACAGGTTGAGTGACCTGCACTGCCACTGAGCTGGTTTCCTCGTTTCCTCTTCTGCTCTCTTCTGCTGCTGCTGCTGTTGTTGCTGGTGGTGGTCTTGGTGTTGCTGGTGTTGCTGGTGTTGCTGCTGTTGTTGCTGTCTCATCATCGCTCTGTTCATTGATAATGCAATTTTCTTCGCTTTGTTGTGATCCCGCATTCGTTGCTTTGCTTTGTGTTGCCGTTTCTGTGTTTGTTTCTGTTGTTGCTTTCTCAGTGTTGCTGCTTTGCTTTGTTGCAATTTCCACTGCAGTTGCTGCTGCAGTTGTTTTTGCTGGCGTGAATGAAGCGCAATTCTGTGTGGGAAAAATGAGAGAAAGAGATATAAATACTAAGTATAAGAGCAAAGGGAAACTGTGTGGATTTATGTATTAACAAATTTCATTGAAAATTTAAAAGATACTTTAGGTGGAAAAATTAAAATTAAAAAATGAGATAACTAAGCCAAAAATGTATTAATTTCAATTCGGAAAGCTTTTCCATGTTAGTTTTTCTTAGATTTATAAATCTACATACTCAATTTAAAATGTAAAAAAATTATTTTTTTTATCAATTTTATTTTTTTTAGTTTTAACACATAAAATTTGTAAAATTTTGATAAATTTTAATTTTTTTTGGACATGGCTAGATCGACTCGGCTATTGATGCTGATCAAGAATATATATGATATATGGGGTCGGAAATGACTACTTCTATATTTATGTAGACAAAATTGACCAGCTTTGTGTGTTATCTCCGCAAAAAGTCAAGTTTCCCTGTAGCGTATGACAAGATTTAAGTTTCAAGTCGTAATTAATGCTAATTGCCGGGGGATTACCCCCTCCCACCAAGCTGTCGACATTTTGCCCTCGCAAAAAGGTGCAAGTATCCATCGCCGGCGTAGGGCATAAATGTGCGCTTAATTGAATTAATTAAGCCAACGCATAAACATAAAACCGTCACAAGTAATTGTTGGTTCTCTGCTGTGCTGCCTGAGCCTGAGCCCTGCTGATAAAGCTGTCCCAGTCCCTGTCCCTGTCCCAATCCCAATCCCAATCCCAATCCCGATCCCTAGCTCCAATCCCCTTCGACATGATGTGGGTTACAGACCCGTGCCCGCTGTGTGTGTGTGTGTGTGTATGGTATGTGGGTTCTAATTATGTTACGCTGTGTTACTTGCATTAATTACGTCACAGAAATATAATGTGATTTACTGTTAGCCCCGCCAACCGCCTCGGAACTCATATATTGTTCAAATGCTGCTCACTCTTGTGCACTGTGATTGCGTCGCATCGCGTCGCTGTCGAGTGCGTTGCAATCACAGCAGCAATGACAGAGCAGCGGAAGGGGTTTATTTTCTTCTTTTTTTTTTAAGCACGCCGAAAAACCAAAACTCATCCTCGGCTAACGGTACTTGGTTTCCACTGGGAGTGGGGTAGGAAAAGCGGAAAAGCACTGGCAACTTCATTACTTCTTGCCCATAAACCTCTCGTCATGAGCCAGTCGTCAAAGCCAAGCGTATGTGAGGGGGAGAAATAAGAGCAGCGACAGTCTCTGTAGAAGACTTCTCCATTTGTCAGTCCACTTATTAAGTTCACCCATCCATGAAGGGATATTGACACTGGCAATGGATTAGAAATACTCCCCTCCCCGGCTTTTGGGGCAAGATTAAATGACCCTTTCGATGAGGAAAGTCTCTTAAAATGTACGTCATCAAATCGGGGCGGAAAAGCTTTGAACATCAAGAATGATATTAAAATTACAATGTATGTACAAGGTTTAGTGCATCACCATTTTTGGTGTAACTTTATGATACGATTTGTAATTTGGTTTCAAGCTTGGGAAATTCTATAGGATATATCTATATAAATATAGGAAATAATTTCACTTGTAAATTCTATAGGATATATCTATATGAATATAGGAAATAATTTTAATAGTGAATAACTGCTATATGAATTCCTGAAACTTAAGCGGACTAAGGAAACCGTTTAAAATAACTGAAAAATATTATCTCTTTGGCAAACTACAACTATAAATAAATGTAAATATAGTTTAGATTATGTTCTTTATTATTTTCCAAAAGAAAACCCCAAGCAATGCTTTTAATATTTAATGCTAACATAGCATATACTTCATAAGCTTCTCTTTAGAACTCAAGACTAAATTTAAGAAGATTTATTTAGCCAATGGTTTAGTTGACAGCTCTGCAAATAACTAAATTTATATAGTTTATATTCTAAAACTGACAAAAGGACTTGTTGTAGCTGCAGGCTTTATTCGTATTATGTCAATATTTAATATTTTTCCAAGACTTTGATGTGCGTTGAAAAATCCCATTTGAATTTATTGCATTTATTTGGCCACCGAAAAGAGTTGTGTAAAAGCTGAAAAAGATATTTTTGTTGTTCGCTCTTTCCACCTTACATTACACCCCCCTTTTGGAAAAGCATTGTGCAGTTTTCACTCCCTCCCCCTTCTATATGCTGCCCCCCCTACTCGCTTTGTGCTTTGTTTGTCATTTTTGTGCGGTCAATTTTCCGTTTCGCTGACGCCGCATAAACAAATTATGAAGTGTGCACGAAAAACCCAAAAGCAGCCACATGCGAGCCCCTATGCGAGTACTTTATGCTATGCTTTATGCCATACTTTGTGCATATGCATATAAAATTTAATATATGTGGAAACAATGCCCCTCCTCCTCCTCCTCCGACCGCCTCTGCCCGCCCCCTTTTTGCTCCCGAGTTCGATACTGATAGGCAACATATGGCGCTTATCTGCGAGGGATGCTAGCGCGGCACTTAAGGGCCTAAGTGAAGCATTAGCCCTTATCGGGGCTTACAATATGGGCAAGGGGTTGGGGGGTGGTGGGATTGCTCATATTAAAATACAGAGTCGGGAGTAAGGAGTATGGAGTACGGAGTACGAGGCTGTCAATGGGCCCGATAAGGCGACAGTTCGACTTGGCGCTCCCATTTCGCGCCAGAGTCCCACACAGAGTTTCCCATTGGCGGCGCCAAACACTTTGTGTTGAACCCTTGACATCAAATTTGATGGTTCTCCATTAAGCAGCTGAAAGTATCCAAGGGGAAGGGGATGGGGACTGCTTTGGGTAAGGTATCAAATTTTCACCTAAGTGGAAAGCAGGGCATTTGGCATAAAGGTATATAAACACAGCTCTCAGGGTGGAATGTTTACAAAGGAGTCTTAAGGGTTGATCGCTGAATGAACCTTTAAAGGATCAACAAAAAGAATTGAGGAATTTCCTTCTACAGGTTTTTTTAAGGAATATATAATCTATATTAAAAGGTGATATTTTTCTTGTCTATACAACTCACCTGCGATATGTAGTCATCCGTGAAGGAACGCTTTAAACCCAATCCAGCGGGAACATTAGCCGTTAGTATTGCAGCCTTGGATACGACCTCAGCCTGATTCTGATCCTGATCCTGATCCTCATCCCGATCCCGATCCCGATCCTCTTCCACTGCTGCTGTTTTCTTTGGCGATCGTTGCGATCTATCACATGGTTCGCGGGCCACTTCCGCGCTGGCCCTGCCGAGCAGGGATGAAGATGGTACAGAAGGAGCTGCTCCACCCTTTTGGGGACCGGCGGAGTATAGTGATTCATAGGAAGGTGGCTCCTTGATTGAGGTGGCAGCCGAGGAGCACCACTGGGTGAGCGTTCGAGAGGGACTGCCCTGGTAAGAAGGGAACGAATAGCGATTCCTTCTGCCACCAGAGAAGCCACCTCCTTTGGCCAGATGATCGAAGCCGGCGATGGCCTCGTCGAAGGCCCTTAAACTAAACGGGGGAAACGAAGACACGGGGCACGGAGGCAGGGCCAGGAGCAGGTCCTGCTGCAGCTGCTGGTGGTTGTGTTGGTGGTGGTGGTGTCCGAATAGGGGTAGGTGGTGCTGGGGTAGTGCTCCTTGGTGGGATGGATGGTGGCTCAATGCCAGGCCCGAGGCCTCGTAGCTGCTGTGTGACTTCCGCAGCTTCCTATTGAGTCGCTCGTCGTCGTCCTCCTCCTCCTCGGCCTCCTCCTCCGAACTGGGCAGGGGTGTACGCTCGTAGGGCGTCCATAGCATCGAGGAGAGTGCCTCCTCCACGTCCGGTGGTCGCTGGCGATGCGTAATTCCTCCTGTTCCCGTGCCTGTCCCCGTCCCAGTCCCTGTCCCGCCTCCTGATCCCGTTCCCTGCCCATGGCTGGGTGTGTTCCGTTCAGACAAGGACATGCTGCGGTGGTGCCCAGTGTCCTTTGCCTCATCGCACAGCCGTGATCCACATTAGGTTTTTAATGGCCAAGAGAGCCTGAAAGGGAAATAACATATAGAATAAATTATATATGCATATAACATTTTAAAAGGAGTAATAGATCAGTCTTATTTTGTCATAAAATATATTTATACATTTAGCAATTAAATACAATTTATAGATAAATTTTTATATTTCTTTATTGTAATAAAGTCTTAGGTTGGTTTTATTCAGTTAAGTCTTTAATCCTTCAGTATTTCTTCTTGTTCTCTTTTCAACAATTTCAATCTATTGAAGTAAGGCTTTGTGGGAATTTATTCCATAGAAATCGTATAATAAATATATCGATTTACCAGCTTATGCCATATATCTACTCCATAAATCCCCCACAAAACAACTACCATTCGGACTTTCAGTTTTATTTTGAGAAATAAACCATGAACATTTCCCAACACAACACACAACAGAGAAAAAGAAGACCAAGCATGTTACAACTCGCATTGTAAATGGGAAATGAAAAACTTTTAACTAAGCAAATGGCTGACAAATTAAACGCTTACAAATGCCCCAATTCCAAGGCCCAAAAACTTTTCAGCCCGCTCGGCCTCTTCCAATTTGATAAATTGCGATTAAAGCATTTGAAATTTGCAAGGGCGATGGGGTTAAAGGGGTTTCTCTCTAGCTAGAGCTCTAAGTGAATATGCCCCCAGGTGGGGGGGGAGGGGAGAGTGAATGGATGTGGGGTGCGGTAAAGAAGAAGAAAAAAAACCTAAAAATGGAAAACCCCAAAACGAAATAAGCCAGCAGACATGAAAAACAAGCATCCGTTTTGTGGAAAATATATGCAGAAAAGTTTGCGATGCAAAGTTTTTGGCAGCCTCACTCGCTCTGCCTCGAATTTCCCTCTTTTCCTGTTCCTTTTGCCCCAAAGGAGTCAGAGCCAGAGTCAGAGTCGGAGTCAGAGTCAGGAAAAAGGAAAAACTTTGCCACAGACCAAGGGAAATCGAGTACGTGAGTGTGTGCGTGTGTATAGGCCGTGCCAAGCCAAGTTTAAACTGGCATCGAGTGGATGTGGAAGGGAATGGCTTAACTGCCAACCGACTAAACGGGACACATCGAAGCGGAAATGGCTGGCCATCCAGTTGGCCGATGCAGTGTCACCATTTACATGGAGAAAATACTTAACAGTAACAGGATATATGTAGGGTTTTTTTTATTATTAGAAATATAAATTTGGGTGGCTCTCTAACTCCATCTTAAACTATTAGTTTAAAGTTTAAAAAAATGGGAATTTAAACATGTTAATCCTTTGTTTCTTGGATACATTGCAAAGATACATAGTTCAAGTCTCGGAAATACCCTAAGTAATTACCCTAATTAATCTACAAGAAAATATAGCTTAAAGTATATTAACAAAGTGTTTTATTGCTTTCAACAATATTCTAAAGCTATTTTCTGAGAGAACTACTCATAGGGAATCTAAGATAGAAATATGGCTAAGAAACCCGATTATTCTATTATTTCTTCCTCTTATCTACGTAATATACCAATTTTCTTCAAATTTTTCCCAGTGCTGCAGGACTCTATGCTAAAATCCAAGGAGTGGGCCAAGTTGAAGACTCTCTTGAAGTCGCTCTCCCGGTTTTTGGGCTGGCAAGTTTTATGTGTTGCATATCCCGAGGCGCTTGACTGTTCTAATTTTTTCACTCGCCGGCCCTTGGCCCCGCGTTTTCCTACGTTCTTTCTTCTTTGGTGGCTTCTTTTCAGGGTTTTCTTTTCGGTGTGTGTGTGTGTGTGTTTGTGGGCTTCACCGCCATTGAATTGGTTTCTTTCTGTCATTCTTTACTTCTTTTTTTTTTGGTTTTGGGGTTTTCTTCTTCTTTTTTTTGTCATGTTTTGTGTTATGCTTAAATAAAGATTTGTGTTAGTGTGTTTCATTGTTGCTGTCGCTTTTCCTACTGGTTATTGTTGCTTTTATGGTTGTTGCTGCGCACTTTCCTTGTGTTTGTTTGGCAAGTTTATGTGCAGTGCGCTGGCTCTGGCCTTCATTGTTATCATTCTCAATGGTCGCCATTTCATTGTTGTGTCGAAGGAAAATGAAGAACAAGAGCACACACACCGAACACAGGCATTCAGGCTGAATTAATACACTTGAGAAAATATATGGCAGGAGCCTTGAATGCATATTATTCATTTTTAAATTTTGAAATCTCATAACTAAGCCAAAAAAGTATTAATTTTAATTCGGAATGCAGTTATATGTTTGTTTTTATTAGGGGAATAAATCTGCATACTCAATTTAAAATGTAAAAATTTTAAGAATTTTTGTCAAATTTTTACAATGTAACCGGTTATAAAATTTTGAAAAAAACTTATAAAAAATTTTTTCTTTCGGAAAATAGCTAGATTCGGCTTTCGATGCTGATCAAGAATATATATGATTTATAGGGTCGGAAAAGATTACTTCACCCTGTTTCAAGCTTCTGACTAAAGATATAATACCTTGCAAGGATTTGATAATCTATAAATTATATTCCCCCTCATTTTCTCTCACTGCACATATGTGCAACAATTGAGAGTGGGCCAGCCATCATGTGTGTGTGTGTGAGTGTGTGTAATATGCATGTTACCTACTTTTGTGAGCTTTTAATTAACAACAAGCCCCAAACAAAGCAACTGAGAGGCGCCGTCAGAAGAAAGGGGCGGAAGAAAGCCTTGAAATCTCAAAGGCCTTTTGTTTGGGCGGGGGGATTTCGCAAGTGTGGCATTCGCCTCGTTAAACATGCAGTGCACATATTTAACATGGAATTATATGGGGATTTGTGCCAGCTTAAATTGCAATTGAACATTTTGCGGAGACTCCCTGCAGGGCTAATGAGGCCTAACGAATGATTCAAATTATATATATTCGAGTATATATGTATTTATATTTGCAGAAATTTCAAGTTCGGACAACTCAAAGCGAAAATCGGCACAAAGGAAATAAATAAGCAGGCGAAAAGTTCAAATATTTACGCAACGGCGGAAAAGTCAGCGAAAACTCTGCGGAAAAGCGTTACGCAAATGAGCAAAATGTCGAAATGCTGCAACCATTCAATGGAATTATTTACATAAATATTCACAGAGCGACCAAGTTGCTGGCATATTTTATTTGTATTATTTTTTTATATTCATTTTTATTTTTATTTTCATTTCTATGTGCCATTTTTATTTGACTAGACGTGCGTCAGTCAATCATGCTCCTCCAGAATGCCGGCGAAAAACTTTTCCCACTGGGGAATATTCTCCTCCCCCATCAAAGTAAGGGGAGTTGCAGATAAATATATGTATATCTATTCATATATATATAAAAAGGAGAGTGGAGAAAAAGAAAACTTGAAGAAGCGTTGCCATCGACAACTGAGCACAGAAGCAAATTGCTGCCAGTATGTTTGTAATGCAAACAAACTTTATCTAATTAAAGGAACACGTGTTACACAACGCCCACTCTCCCCTCCCCCTACTTGGCTCCTTTTCGTCTAGGGAGCGTCTTCATCTTTGGGGATCGCCGTCTACGTCTCCATCCAAATCTGAGTCCGAATACGGAATACGTATAGGAATATTCTTGGGATGCCGGCAGCTGCTTTACATTGATGACGACGCACTCGAAATGCTTTTGATGTCTCACTTTGCATTTGTCGAAGCGACAGCTTCCTAGATACATGAGTATGTGGGGTTGTCTATGTGTGTGTGTGTGTGTGGGAGTTCTATATATGGTGCGTAGCTTCCGTTTCCGTCGCCCTTAGGCCTCCGCTCTCCCGTGTCCCGTGTCCTGTCTCCTGTCTCCTGCGACTCGCTCTCTTCCGGCTGACTGGGCTGCCGTCTCTAGTCTGGCGATGTCGAGTGCCTTTTGAGTTGTTTGTCAATATGTAGACCATTATTCAATCAATATATTGACACACATTTCATTTCCTGCGCCAGAGTTTCAGCCGTCCTCCCGTCTCCTCACATCATTAATCCGGCCAAGTGCTAATCGCAAACAAAGTAGTTTTTGCTTGAGTTCCATTTCAATTTCTTTTGACGTCTCAGCCACTCATTTTGGCCCATTTTTATGGCTCGTGGCTGTTTGGTTTTTCGTCTTGCCTTCGCCTGCCTGTGATGCCTTCGCTTCCCTCAATTCGATTCGATTCGATTGATTCCCCTGTCGGTTTTACGTACTTTGACACACTTCCAAGGCTCCGTGATGCCTTCGTCTTGGCTGTTGCCTGTTTGCCTTTGCCCCCGGGGACTTACATTTCCGCTTAACTATTGTCGGCTGAGTAGGAGGAGGAGTAGGAAAGCGGAGACTATGCTTCTTAAATTGAATTTGAAGCCGGGAATCCCTCCTTCTGTTATTTGCACACGAGCCGATATTTCTCTTCGTGTGCTTTCCCACTTTTTTAATTTAATTCGGCGCCTTTTGCTTGGGCACTTAAAAAGTTTTTCCCAGTGCCCGAAAGTAGGCAACGGATCCCGACCCGAATCAGGATCAGAACAAAAAAATTAACTAAGGTCTCACACTGCGGGAAAATAGTTTAAAAATAAACAGGTTTTTGTTTATGTTAGCTTAAGGAAATATTTAGAATTACTTTCAAATGTATTCTATTGATTTTTTAAGCTTTAGGCATTTGCAGAATAAACTTGAATAGCTTTAAAGGCTTTCTGCCTAAATCAAAGGCTAACTTTAACACATTTTGTTAAGAAAATATATTTTATTTAAATTGAAGGTAGTAATTAATTTTGAAAAACTATATTTCTAATACTTTTTATATAAAAATAATTGAAAATTGATTTATTTTAAGTTGTTTAATGGACTTAAGCCCAAAGAAACATAATACAGAAATTAAAGCTTTTAATGTCTTTCTCTAAGAATGATTTATTTGCTATAAATATTTTAATTTTATTAAAGCTCATATTTTATTGAAATCTTCATTTTTTTCTCACTGCCTTTGGCATCGAAATGCGAGAGCCAATGTGATCGAGTTGCTAAATCACTTAAGCCATTCAAGTTTCGCTTCGATTCCGAATCGAGGAAAAGGAATAGGGAAATTGTGATGGAGAGATTACTATTGTAGTTGGGGGATTTGTTGAGGAGAGCTGGAACAGTGTAAGGAATTGACTTTTGAAGCCAGGTCACAATAATCCGCATTAAATTGAAACTCCCAGTTTTTTTTTGTTCGTCTCTCAGGACCCTGAAGGTCCATGAAGATGCTCGAGACCCGTGTGCTGCATAATTAAGAGCGGCAAGTGCAATATTCAATTAAAGTTTCTTGGAATTTTCCCAGGGCTTCAATTAACCAACTATAAACAAGCTTGCTAACTTGGCCAAAACAGCTTGGAGGGGGGTGGCAGCTGCAGGTGCCCAGCACTTACCATGCAGTTCGCCTTCAGGACCTTAAAGCTGCTTTGGCTTTGGCGGCTGCTCTTCAAAGTTCCCAAGGCTCCGGCCAAGTTTCTCGTGTTTTTTTTTTTTTTGTTTTCGCCGCTGTCCTTTGCTCCTTTTGGATGCTTTGGCCGGGTAGAGACCCGCCCCGATGCGCTTAATTATGCTAAAAGCAGGCAGCAGCAACTTTGCCAGCTACAGAAATGAATATTTACACCTGCCCGGATGCAAATGTGGCGCCAATGTCAAAGCCATCAAGTGTGGCGCCACATAAACAAAGTTTCTCTATTTCTCATTCAACAGTTTTTGGTAGTTTTTAGTTTTTGTAGAATTTTATTTAGCACACATCACTGATGGTTCTTATTTTCCCTTCGGGTTATTATGAACACTTTTGAAAATTGCAGTCCAATTACGACTTTTAGGGAAACGAAACGATTTTATGACCGGAAAAACAGTGGTCTTTAGCCAGGCTGCTGCCACGGAAAACGCGAAAGAACTGACTGGCTTAGAAACGGCACAAAGGCTTTTCACTGCGAACTTGGCTTCGGGGAAAACTCAACACGGGCTCTCTCTCTGTTTTCCGAGTTGAGGTGAGTCTGCGCAGGACCTTCGACCCGCTCCCATAATCTGCACGTGCATGTGGCTTCCAGGAAAATGTGTGGAAAATGTTTGTTTACATTTGGCAGAACAACAAGGGAGCGAGAAGTTTTAGAGGGAGAGTAGCAGAGCCTCCAATTCGATGTTGCCTACTTTCGGCCGGTGAAATATGACTTTTCAATCGAAGTGGAGTTGCAGTTGGAGAACTGGAGTTGGAGATGCAATTGCAATTGCAATTGCAATGGGCCGAAAATGGCCTGAAGGCATGCCGCAAAATTGAGCAACAAGCTGTTCCGGAAGCGTTTGTAATCCTGGCTGAAACCGATTCCTGGCACCCGATTCCTCCAATGCACAGAGTCCTAGAACATTATCCCTAATGAACTGAATGCCTTTTTGCTGATGGACAAACTTTTTTAATTATCATTAATGAACACGATGGCGTCGGTGGGTAGCATCACTGGCCAAGTTGCGTCCTGCAATTATTTTAATGTTCAATGAGGTTGCTGCAGCAGTCATCGCCAATGATTTATTACAAGGACCCGCCCCTAGCTTTCCCGAAGTCCCAGGTCCTCCGTCTCGTTCTCGTTCTCGTCCTTGTCCCGAAGTGAGTGTGTGAAAGTTGCCGGCATTGGCAATTAGATAGTCGGGGAAAAGCCGAGGAAAAGCGGGCAAGTCCATGAAACGGCGTTTATGTTTAATGCGTTATAATGGCCGTTGTAAGTGTACATAAGTTGATATAAAAGTTTTATGGCCCGGGCGTGAGCAGCCTCCGGGATCCGATATGGAAAATGGGAGGAGGCTCTAGGAGAGTGAGAGATTGTGGTCCCTTCCAAAAATGTAAACAAATCGATGAATTATATCCCAACTTATCGCAATTGAAATTTAGATTTAATTCAACTCTCGGCACTTTTCGGTTTCGAAATAAATTATTGACCCTCCTCGGCCCCCCAATTGAATTAGATACTCGAATTTGTGTTTGCATTATGAATTTCCATGGATTTCCCTGGCAAAGCCCCGGAATTTATTATTTTTCCTGGCCAGCCAACCACAAAGATGGGCTCTGTTTTTGAGGTTTCTCGATCGAGATCGAGCCGGGAACATAAATAATGTAGCCCATTTTATTGAATTACTTTGATATTGCCAGCCATAAATTATGTATGTTCAACAATTTTCCATAATTTATGCGTGCTTCAAAACAATTTAAGCCCCTCTACGCCCCCCTTGGCCATCGGTGGCCAAATAAAACACATCGATGGAAATAATTTCAATAGAAAAACCTAAGCACAGGAGGCGGTTAACCAACACGCACGAATACCTCCCCAAAAAAAAAAAAGAAAAACACGGACACACACACAGGCGACCGCTCACGCACACTGCCACACGCGTACGTGTGTTTAGACAGATATCCGTATCTATAACTGCCTCACAATTGCAGCGCACTTGCCGCAGAAAACACCGATAAAAGAATAAACAAGGCGGGGAAATTTGGGGTTCGGTATGAGTAACGAATTTAGAATACCCTAAGGGGAGTTTAGGAGAACTGATGTTAAAGCGAAAGAACCTAAGTCTTGAGTAAGTGTCATAGAAAAGCTAATAGTTTCAAGCAATAGTATTTATAAAATAATGTAGTTATATACTAAACATAATTAGTGTTCAATTAATCATAAAAGAGGTACCAATTACATTTTTTTTAAGGATTTGTTTTAAACTCAGGTTAGATGCTTCTAGCATGATGCAACTATAAATAATTGTATAATTAAATTATGGTCACTCAAATGGAAAATTAATATTTTAAAACTATACCAAATACCGTTTAAAAATTCCCCTTCCATTAATTATAACTTATTAATTCGAGTAAGAGGCACAACGTCTCAGATACATACTTTGTTTATTAATATATTTGAATTAAAACTGTGTTAATCTGCCCAACTCTTTATTTAATAACTTAAAAAACATATATGATAACCTTACCTTTTCTTCACTAATTAAACTGATGTTAAAAACTTGATTATTTTGTTATTACAACATTTTTTTAGGCTTACTTAATATACCCCCAAATTACAGGGCACTTCTCTTAACCATTTCCATTTCGTTTTTACAACCCTGTCCTTGCAAGGGAGCTGGCGAAGCAAGTGGAGAAGGACCCAGACCCAGACCCCATTTATGACATATGCGCGCGGGTCGAAGGGCCATGGCAGTGGGATGTGGGTGGGGCGGGGGATGCAAAAAGCCCCTGCAGCCGGCAGACGCATCCCAGACCCCTTTTCTGCAAACACCCATGGCCAGGCTCATGTCCCACCTCCGGCGGCAGTGGCAAAAAAAAAAAATCTTCGGTTTAAGCGATTTCGCTAGCTTCGGGCGGAGTTTTTCCTTTTGATGCCGCTGTCCTTGGCGTTGCATGGAAAATGCTCTATATGTGGATGGGGCTGTATATGAATCGAAATCCGCAGGGCCACGCACAGGACTCACAGGACTCGCATGGAGTCGCCTGCTCTTTGTCCCCCCCTGTGACAAACCGTGGCAAATGGCGGAGGATTGGAGGGTAGCTAGGTAACCGTAAAATAGAAAGCGGGGGCAAGGCAAGAATTGCAATAAAACATAAAATTGCTGACTTCAATTCGTTTGCCATTTAGGTTTCGTTTTCCCTTTTTTCCACCCTCCCTCCACCCACTCCCATTTCCATGCCCATCTGGGCCATTGTGTGTGCGTGGGTGGAAAATGGGGGTCTGGGCGTGTGTGTGTGGCAACCTGCGTTCGCCCCCTTTTATATATTTTATTAGGTTTTATTTGATTTACACTTGTTTTGTGCTGAAAGCACTTCGTCCCTGAGCCCTCAGCATGTGTGTGAGTGGGTGGAGAAGGCACAAAAGGAGTGAACGGAAAGGCGGATGGAAAAACACAAGGAAAACCATCCCATTTTGAGTAGAACATTTTCTAGAAATAGCTAAATTTCCATATAAAAATGACAGCCTATAAAATAGTATAAGAGATATTAAGGATGCTTTTGGAATTTTAACGATATGCGATTAAATGTAACTGAAAAGCGAAGGGATTTGATTTAACCTATTTAAATTTATGATTTAAAAGGTGGTTCTTGGATTTATTCTTAAATTTTAAACAAAATCTTTTTGTAAAGAAAATCAAAATTCAGGACTTCCTTTCAAAGAAATCAACAGCCTTTTGGCAATTCTCCTCTTATTGCTCAAGTTTTCCTCTCGCAAGAAAATGCCCAGAAAATTACTTTCACTTCACAAAAAGTCCTCTCTGACCCGTAGGACCAGTCATAAGTGCAATTATCCTTCTTCGATATACACATATATATATATATCCTTTATGCCTTTCCTGTTCTGTGCTGAAAGTAAGAATCCTTTCTGGCCGTTGCCAGCCAAAGCACAATTAATTAAGCACGCACAGTGGGAGCACAAAGATTTTAATTAAAAATTTTGCTGAAGCTGCACAAGTGTCCTCCTTCTTCTCTGCCTCGCCAATGTCCTGTTTTCACCTAGCATCCTTTGTCGATTCGGGATTTCCGTGTTGCACTTTGTTTCATTATTTCATTACATGCCTGAGCTGCAATTGTAAGGCTTTCAATTTAAGCCGAAAACTGATGAACGGCAATTGGTAATTGCCAATTGACAATTGTCGATTGGCCATAAGGATGATGATGCACCGCCATGCTGACATCCTGCCATCCTGCCACCCTTGACACACTGACTGTGTGTCTGTGGTATTTAGCTTTTCGCTCCACTTTTAGTGAGAGATACCCTTTATCAACTTACCTGCAGCCAGGTATGACTCTCTCCCTCTGCGGGGATTTCTAAAGAGCTAAAGAGCTGCCTGAGGGCCTTAAGGTGTTAATGAGTGCGATAAGATCCAAATTAGAATATTCATAATTCATCATGTTTGTGGAGAGCTTTCATGGCGAGCTGCTCTTTGCCGGCCAAGTTTGTTTAGTCCTAGAGGGCATCAAGTGAGAGTATCCTTTTTATTTAACATTAAACATAAATCGAATGAGGAGTTTTTGAGTTATTTCTAAAGGGGTATGGTGAAGGCGAAGGACTTAAACGTAGATTCAAATGTTCAATGCTGTATTAATTGATAAATTCATACGTTTTAAAGATCCTTTTTAAAGGTAAACTAATCGGAAATAATTCCATATTCAGGATACAAAAGCATATAAACATTCTTTTCACTCCTGTTTAAGTTTATGAATAAAATCTATACAAGAAACTTCAGCATCCTTTAACCACACAATGGCGTATAAACCAACTTTGACTGACAAAGTATGGAAAATTGCAGCCCCTGTTAAGCTTCCTCCCCTCTCTCAGGACACTTTCCATGCTCCCCCTGTTCAACACCTGTGTTTGCCTTTCAGCTTAGCGCCAGCAGCCCCAAAGACAAAAACAGCTTCACACGCTCAACTCCTGTCTGTGTCCATGTCCGTATCCGCTCCGTGTTCCATCCTCCACGCTAGAAATGCTCACGAGCTCGTTGGGGTTCCGCAGGTATTAAGGTCAGAGGTATAAAACATGCAAAGCTGCCGGCCAGCCTCACCTCGAATCCTCGAATCCTGGCCAGAGGGCAGAAAACGCAGGCAGTCCATCACAAAAACAAACACACGCCGAGTGTTAACCGTCTCGGACTCCGATTCCAGCAACGCTTTTAGCCCGGAACACAGAAGACTCCCTCCAGCTGCTGAATCATGGTTTTACAGTGCAGTGCCTGTAGTTTTATAGTTCCATAAACAGGAATACCATGGATTTAGAAAGTAAAAGAGTTCAGGTGAAGGTTTTGGCTATTTGAATCCTTTGGAATTTTGATATTTTGTGGGGTTTTAAAGAAAATTTACTGGAGCGTATTTAATGTTTATGTTATAGAG